AAGTAAGCAAGTACGTTAAGCTATAAAGCAGCAGCGATATAAGCAGCCGAACAAATTCACTTTTCCTATTACTGCTTCATTCATATGACTATGACTACCTTTCTACATAAATACCACCCCAATCGCCCACACCACCATAGATCTTGTACCTAATGCTCCTTCCGCTGACAGAGTTTGTGTCGTGCATACTTCCGCTCTGGCGATGTAACTATTTAAACTGTGAACATAAAACAAAAACAAAAACAAAAACAAAAACACGATAAAAAAGCAATTCCGTGCCAACATTGCATATACATTTATACGTATTTGTGTATATATGTATGCACACGCAAGAATACACGTATGTAGTCATCAGTCATTTTCTATGTCGCCAGCGCGTCGCTCGAGGACATCATTACCATCCACACAGGCCCATAACCATCAACCCATACCAGCGTCGTTACCACAGTCAACATGTATGTACATGTGCATATGTGTGATCCCACAAGCATAACCACCTCCCCCATAATGTTCGTTTCCCGCCACCCACTTTTCTCGTACTTTTATTTCGTTTTTGCCGCCGTCGCCAACATAACCATTCATATTCGTTGCCGTCGCCGATGTCTAGTCATTCGGCATATATAAAAACATGGATTTCCCCCGGCAACTATATATACATACATTCTTACATTCATACATTTTCAACATATACATATGTACCATCCTACCTCCAACTCTTCACCGCTTTCTTGTCGGTACTTAGCTGTGCCAGCAATTTTTACTATTTTATTTGCCTACAAATGCACACAATAACAATAAAAACAACAGGAATAGAAAATCCCCACATACATTTATATTACATATGTATGTACATATATACAAACATCACAAGCAATTGAAGTTGAAGCTTTTCCGCAACTGTGAACGAGCCTCTGCCTCTGTGTGTGTGTGTGCGTTGGTTTGTGTGTGTATGTTAGACAGAAGTCCTGTGGAAAATACTGTTGCCGGCTGAATGCTTGCCTGTCTTCCTGGTTCACTGGCTGGCTAGCGGGTTAGTGTTGTGTTAGCTGGCAAGAAAGACGGTACGGTAGTAAAAGCGAGCTTCTGTGCGTGAAAAATTGTGCTGGAAAATATTTTTTATATAAAAATTTTTTGTAACGTTAAAAAGCAGCTTACTTTAAGGCGCCAAATGATAAAATTCTCAAAAAAAATGGTTTTGAATTTTGAATTTTTGGCATTTTATTGACCAAAAAGGTTAGGCAACCAATTTTTTTTTTTTGTTAGAAATTAACTAAATTTGTCGAAAAACAGGCGCTATTCTCCTCAACTGAAATACACATATTTCACTCTCCAAACACACAAATGCATAATAACCTTTTGTATGTATGTATGCGTAAGTAAATTTTATTAACTGAGCATAGCGACTCTCTGAGAGAAACTCCATATTACACCATTATTGTGCCGCCGAAACTCTCCAAAAAAGAAAAACACCCTCACAAGAATACAGGTTGCAGGCTGAATCCGCCACCTTTTCGCACACCTTTTGCGTCAGGTTGCATTCTGAGGCTGATAATATTTTATAATCCTGCGCAGTGTGCAGTAACATTCTTCCGACTATATTTTTTGGCAGCTTCCACAACAACAAGCATCTATATGTGTATGTATGTATATGTGTTCAATTGCAATGGCAAAAACAATTGCATAAGCAGCAACAGACAGCAGCCAAACTTCCTCTTTCTCTTTATCACTCCTCCGAAGGGTTGTGTGCAACAAAAAGCTATCAAGCTATTTGCCATTTCAATGGTCTGCATACAAGCTCAGCGTATAGTCAGTCAGACAAATGCAAATATACAGAAGTGCTACATACATACTAACATATTGTTGATGAAATGTATAAAGGCCAAAGCAAAATTGATTTTTTTGTGTTTGAGAAATCGTTAAAACTCCTAAAAAAAATTAAAGAAAACCCTTTCTTATCGCTGTTGTTGTTGTTTAGCCGCAAAAATATTAGCGAAATTACAAAGTTACGAGATTGGCAGCCCTTGACCACATATAAGTCTGGATCGTTCCTGTGTAAAGACCAAAATGTCGCCACTTACGACAGACAAAGTTACAGCGCATAATTTCTTTCTGATATTGTTTATTTGTTAAAACAATTAAAATAATGCTAAGCGTGGTGTCCACGAGAAACGCAATGCTACTTTTTGATATATGTTTCAAAATTTTGAACTTCTTATTGTTAAACCTTTTTAAAAAAAAAAATCTTTTGTTCGTGTTCAAAAAACTGATTGATCGTTTTCATAGTCAATTTTATGTTCATTAACCGCTTTGAGTTTTGTTTGTACTGAGTATTTCGGTTCTATGTTTTTAAGGGGTAAAGCCACTCTAGAGGTTAAAAAATAGACTCATCTTTTAAAATTTATTGCAGGAATGTGGGTAAAGGAATAGAATTTATATTTCACTATTTCATTGAACATATATTGAAGTATAAAAAATATTATTTTGTTACAAAATGGCGGTGATAAACTTCATTATTTAATCCATGTTTTTTTGAAACGCCTCCATGAGAGGACCGATTTCTTCGAAAGGCTGAAACCTAGAACAGAAAACCAAAAAGTTGTATGATATACAAACTAGGGTCTTTGGAAGTATGTATGGATTTATTTTTTTTAACTAATTTTTGTGAAAGCGGCACAGTTTTTTTTTAAAGATAGAATAAGAATAATCTGTCCTCCCAGTTTGAAATATGTGATTTGAGAAAAACGCGTTTAAAGTTTTCATTGTACTCATCGCACGGTCTGATGAGGTGCTGCAACGAAATAAAAAGTTCCGCTATTTGAAATATTTTTTCGCTTTATAAACAATTGCATATCATTTCTAGGACTCAAAGGTACCTTGTGAGCAAAAAAATTGCCTTTTCCAAAATCCTAGAGTGGCCTAACCCCTTAATGAACTACACTGTGAATATTTCTTCGAAGTCTCATTTATGAATAACAATTTTTAATAAATATAAATAATATAATAAATATAATAATAAGCATATTTTAAGATTTTTTGAAGTAGTTGATGCTGAAATTATTAATTTATTTTAAAACTTAGTTTAGTACAAAAAAAAACTATTGATGTCGTTTGCTTTAAAAAATGATTATCGGTATAAGGAAACAGTAAGACGAAGAAATGCCCACTGTCAACAAAATAGCAACAATATTTTTTTTTTTGTAGGTTTTGAATATAAATGCCCTCTGCAGGAAATTTCAACCCCTTCAAATGTATTTTTGACATGCAAGAAAAAGCGCCTCATAGCAATTCGTCATCGGAAACTCAGCCGAAAATCGCTTCAGTGGCTATAAAGCGCATTAAAGATGTACATATACATATATGTATGTATAGCTACGTAGAATATTCAAGCATTTAATCCACTAAAATTTGCAGAGATTCATATATGAATACTTCGAATGTGTATATACCAAAGCTGCATCCTAACGATAAATTTAGTCGTAAAATTTCAATCGTTGAAATGTTATTGTTAAATCAGCTACCAAAATAAGCTTTATTTCGTTTTTACCCGAAACGAAATGCTGTCGTTTATGTTAAACTGTTAACAGATAATGTTAAACGTTAAAATTGAAGTGACGCAGTCATTTTAAAAATAACATTAACGATGAGTTAGTGCAGTTTAAACATTAACAATTTCTTTTCGTTTCGATAATAAGGCGCCAATACAAAACAAAATCATTTCGTTAAGTTTATGGTTCATATTAAGCTAACGCATCGGCATCGCTTCGTTAGCTAAGCTTCTCTGGAATATTTAAATATTATATAATATTTTTTGATATTCTTTATTAAAATTGCATTATCCTATACCTTGACTATATCTTGATGTACTTTTTATCAACACTTTGTTTGCTCCGCGTTTGGCCCTTGTATTGTACTTATTTTTTTTTTTTTGTAATAATAATTCTTGTAATCAATTACTTCATATATTTTATGGAAAAGGAAATTAATATATTATAATTTTTTTATATTTTTTTTTTGTTTTTGAAAAAAATCTTATTAAATTATATTATTTTCCGTAGTTTAAAAAAATATCCCCTTAATATTTTTCAACTCAAGTGCAGTGAAGCTCCTTGCGCCCAAAATCATGCCTTGTCGCTTCGTTGGTCTTCACTTCATTTAGCATGCAATGCATGTAATGCGCGCCAAGTACGTTACAAGTTTTGTTTGCTGTTTTCTACGCATGTGTGAGTGCACTTCTGTCAAATATATTATATATGCATGTATGCATTCACCTACAATTCACTTATGTACGCTTAAAACTTTAACAAATATCTCGCTTATGTCCAGAAGTCCCTTAACAAATATAAATGTATGTAAAACTTCTCTTAGACGCCTGCTCTGCAGAAAGCTTTTGTTTATTCAAGCACTACTTAGCCCACGTCAACACTTCTATCCATACATATGCATGTATGTATGCGTGTATATATATGAGTACATATTTAAACCTTTGTGTATACTAAGTATATGTATGTGTATATAATAAATATTCTCATTCTTTGTTTTGTACTTACATTTGTATGTAAGTGATTTTATTTGTTTTGTTTTGTTTTGTTCGTGGCTGGTACCTTGGTTACTTAACCTTTACTTAAGGCAGAGCAAAGTCAAGGGCTTGCATATGCGAGTATTTTATACGATTTGGCAGTAAATTCTTTAGAATAAGTTTTAAACTTTGGCGTGTGGTATGCTTGTATTCATTCCCCTTTTCACTATGTTTGCAGTATTTTTTTTTACTTTTCGTTGTTTTATATCAACTTTTGTTTTTATTTATTGGCTCAAACAAAGATGTAGACGTTCTTTGTGCCATTTTACATATTTAACTAAATATATTTGCAGTTATTTGTGAATATATTTTTAATGGGAATTTTTTCTTATATTTTTTAGCTTTCTTTCATCGTACATTTATTCTATTTTTTTTTTTCATTACCAACTAAATGCACCCTTCTATTTTTTCCTTTTACTTGCAGTTTGCCGCCTGGGTTGATGCTGTGATTTTCGTCTTTAGTCTTGAGAACGAGAGCAGTTTCAATACAATTTACAATTATTATAATAAAATGGCGCATTTTCGTAATGGTCAAGATTTACCAATGATTTTAGTTGGCACACAAGGTAAGTGTCTTCGTACGATTTCAACATTTTTGTAATTACGTAAAAACTATTCATTTATGTATATGTACTTGTCTTAATCATTAAGTAGATTTTAATTCTTTAATGTACAATGTGTGTTGATCAATTTGAGGAAGAGTTAAAAACGAATCAAAAAGCCTTTTGGTAATATATTCGATCTAAGAAAGGTTGTTTCAATCTTTCTACTCTTGCCCTACTGCGGGATGAGTTCAGAAAGCACTTTGGATACTGTAAATTGTTATTTCGCTTGTAGTGATTTAGAATTTTTATCAGACTTTAGATTTCGGTAGTTTTTCATGCACAGAACTAGTTGTTTTGAATAGAATTGCTGTTTTCAATTGCCTTTAAATATCGACTTGGATGCGCTTTCTCCTTATGTACGTAAAAAGTGTAATTAAAATACATTCTTAATCTTTCGATATCCTTTGGCGTCTTTATTAATCGTTTGAAAATTTCCTCTATTCGTTATTCAAGTCTGATAACAAAAATGGTGTAAGAAATGATTGGCCTTTATCCAAACTATCGACTTGTTCGAAACTTCTTTAATAAGTAGTCAAGGACAAATTATTCTTTGCTGTTAAAGTCACCTTAAGCCCACACCAACATATTTTTGTTAGCGATAGTTTTGCTGTCACAAACCAAACCTAACTGTCTTTTTATTGCATTGCAGCTTTTAAGAAGATATAACAAGTTGATGTTGTATTGTATATACCGATTATTCCAAAGCCTTCATACTGTCCCGCGTAGCATTTTATTACGAAAGGTGCCTAGGTGTTCATACTTCATTTCTATTTTGGCTTAGATTATATATCTCCAATATATTCTCTTTTGTTAAAATAGAAATATCGAGATCATATGGCTTTGAAGCCAGCTCTGTGTATACCTCTAGATAGCAATCTTTGTTCTTTATTGCTACTTTTTTTTTTTAGCAATGATATTGGAACATTGCTTTAAATATTCGAACTTCATACTTTATGCAGATGATTTAAAACTATTTGAACTCATTAGTTGTATTTCTGATGTTTTACTTTTACAAGGGTTTCTTAACAGTTTAGCTAGTGGGAGCATTAGGAATAATTTGCCCCTGAATATCAAAAAAATACTTTACAATACTTTTACAAGGTGCCTAAATGTGCTCAGGTCAACTTTTTATCTCCTTGATAATAGGCCTTCTTCTGTTAGCGTGTTGATTTCAAAGATCGCTACACAATAATGTTATGTAATAACGATGTATGCTTATAAATCTTAAATCATTTTCTCTCCGATGTTCTATCCAGTAATTGCTATTTATTTATGATCATTAATAGCCTAGTGGACTGCCCAGAAGTGGTTGAGCGGAAATTAGCTTTGCGCGCTCATTATATTTGATTTAGAAGTCCTTAAAGCGCATTGTTTTGTTGTTATCATACTATGTAATTAGTAAATATATTATAAAAATAATGAAGATTACTTTGAAGACAAGTATTTTTGTTAAATATGGATTTTGAAATAGTTTAGCAATAAATTTATTTTTCGCCACACAATGTTCATATTTCCTCATTTTTTTTTCAGATGCCATTAGTGAACGAAATCCACGTGTGATCGATGATTCACGCGCGAGAAAGCTGGCGAATGATCTGAAACGCTGCTCGTACTACGAAACTTGTGCCACATATGGTCTCAACGTAGAACGAGTGTTCCAAGATGGTAAGTTACTTCTATACATCTCGCAATGACTATAAAATTGTATTTTTTAGGAAATTTAATTTTTTTTTTTGCGAAAAAGAGGTCCTAAGTTTAACATAAGTACTCATTTACTTAACCATACTCACTCAACCGAACCGAACTTTACTAATTTCCATTAATTTTCACATTTCCACTGTAGCTTGCCAAAAGATTCTCCAGCAACGCATTCCCCTACCCCCCACCGTAAACTCCCGACCCACAACGCCGCAAGGCACACGCCTTGGAATAGCCTCCTATCATCATAACTCAAATAATCACAGCGGCGCCAATGCGAATGGCTTTTCGGCATCCACATCGTCGGTTCAGGGCGCCGTCTCAACTAGCAATCTGACGCTGCCGCACCGCCATCACGCGCTATCCACCTCATCGCATCACATACCAATGCGCATGAGTGCTGATTTTATGCAAAGTGAGCAGCAGCAAAGTTTGCCGCCGAGCCAGCGGTCATGGCAACAGCAAAAGGAGCAACAGCAACAACGTGATCGTGAACTGAGTATGCTCACCAACGAAAATAACAATATTACCAAATTCACACCGACTCATCACCAACACCAACAACAGCAACAGCAAATACAATCCCAGTCTCAGCAATCGATTCACCACCAGACCGCTGAAAGCTTACCACCTCTGAGTTTGGTGCCACTGCGCGAGAACAAAGATAACGGCAGCGGTGGTGGTGGTGGCGGCAGCGGCGGTGGTAAGGATCTGCCGACACCCACATCCACGCCCACTACAAGTCGCAAGAGTCGACGGCGTTCAAATCTCTTCATACCCTCCTCCTCGAAGAAGGGCGAGAAAGATTTGAAGAATGGCGAATTGGGTAGCGGACGATCCATACCAATCAAGCAGGGCTACCTCTACAAGCGCTCCAGCAAATCGTTGAATAAGGAATGGAAAAAGAAATATGTGACACTTTGTGATGATGGACGCCTCACTTATCACCCATCACTACATGATTATATGGATGATGTACATGGCAAGGAGATCCCGTTGCAATATGTAACTGTGAAAGTGCCGGGACAGAAACCTCGTGGCTCCAAATCGATCATCACCAACAGCGCGCTCACCACATCGATGCACTCGAACGGACGTAACCATGGACAGAATGGCTTAAGTGAGGGCATCGGTTGTCTCTCTATTGTGAAAGATAACAAGGACAAGAAAATGACCGAAAAGGTGCTGCTTACTGCCTTCGACACGCTCCGCGAACCAGTCAAATCGAATTCTTCGCAACAGACGAGTGGTGATGAGGGTATCGCCATGTCTAATTCAAACTCGCAGACATTTATTGCTGGCAGCGATAGTCAACAGCAATTACAACAGCAACAACGTGAATTACTGGCCGTCAACGCGGCTAATAAATTGGAATCTCAAACGCCAAATGTTAAGAAACGCCATCGCCGCATGAAAAGCAGCAGCGTCAAGTCAAATGAAGTCGATGATTCGGATATTTACGAATTTTTCATTGTATCGCTCGACTCCAAACAGTGGCATTTTGAGGCAGCAAGCTCAGAGGATCGCGACGAATGGGTAGCTGCTATAGAGCAGGAGATCTTCAAGAGTCTACAGGGTATTGAGAGTACGAAGACAAAACCGGCGACCACCAGTGAGCTGGCCTCGATGGTGGCGATACGTACGCGTGTGCCGGGCAATGGCTATTGCGTCGATTGCGATGCGCCGAGTAAGTAAAATCAAAATAGAGAGAACTAAAATAAAATTCAGCATCACACTCTTCAGAAAAATAATTTAAAAACTATTTTTTTTTTGCAGATCCTGAATGGGCTAGTTTGAATTTGGGCGTACTCATGTGCATTGAATGCTCCGGTATCCATCGCAATTTGGGCTCACATATTTCTAAAGTGCGTTCATTGGGCTTAGATGATTGGCCGTAAGTAGATAAATTTCAACAGTTGATATAAACCAACGAAAGGCATAAACTATTTATCATCACCATTTTTTCTTGCAGTGCCGGTCATCTTAGCGTAATGTTGGCTATAGGCAACAGCTTAGCTAACTCGGTGTGGGAGGCAAATACACGCCAACGTACCAAACCAAAGCCTAATTCCACTCGTGAGGAGAAAGAAACGTGGATTCGTAGTAAATATGAGGCGAAAGAATTTTTAGCACAATCCAATGCTAATACGAATACAACGCCGGGACAGCAATTAATCGAAGCGGTTATCAGGTATGTGTAAAAAATTTAAGAGAACTGAAAAAATTGTACGTTATGTGCCCAATTACACATCACGCGATTCCCATGAATACATTTGATGGTAATTGATAGAACATCATATGATACTACAATATATTATATAAATATTGCATTACATGAAGATTTAATCACACCGTTTAAGTCAAATCTTTTGGGATTATTTTTATTTTATTTTTATTTCATTGCATATCATATCAGATATGAACCCTAAACATAACTTCATTCGACGTTCCCATTTGTGTGGTGGTGAGCAAAGTTATAACGGGGTGGCAAAAAGTATTCAATGATACCTTTTAGTAAACCCTTGCTTACAAGATCAATTTGAAGCTCTTCTGATAAGATGAGATTTTTTAACACAATTTTATTACTTTTTCTTCAAAACTTATCCCCGCTTTTTTTGTTCATACGGAAATACTTGGTCTAAGTTCTATATAGTTAAAATATTAACGTCCTAAGTTTCTATTTCTCGGCATTTCAAATGGAAAACCATTCATTATAATGTGATAAAAAATACTAGTTTTATTATGCTTATAAAATCTCATAAATAAATCCTTAATTTATTTAGTCACATAATGGATCATGTGACAATCACAAGAAATCCCATCATTTCATATGACGTGATCTGAATTATATATTTTAAAAGCCTCATCCTTACAAGTGCCCTGCACAAGTTTCCTTATATGATCAATTCGAATTCATTACTATAGACAATTCTGAATTTCCTTCTTATTTGCATTGCTTGATTGAACACCATATATTCAAAAAAAAATGTAACGTGTTAACGCAGATTTATTATCAACAGGGAAACGAATTATTGTGCCCGTCCGCTAAATTTTTTTCTCTTGATCAGAGCACCAACATCAATTCACATCATATCACGTCACTTGATTCGATGTCACAACATCATATCACGTCACTTGATTCGATGTCACAACATCATATCACGTCACTCGATTCGATGTCAAATCGTCAGTCACATCATGTGATATTTCTGAATTCTCAATAACATCACGCAGCTAAATTTCAGGCACATAATACAATCATATATTTATATTAATTTATATACATTTACATACATATATAAAGCTCTACGATTTCAGCGCGCTCTTTTAGTGTGTATTATTGGCTCATGGTTAAAATGGCACTGAGCGACGTTACCGAGGGTCTAGCAAATTGTATATGTATATGTGAATATGTCGCTTTATTTTTATTTTATTAATTCATGAAATTGAAAGTGTTTTGATTACATCAAACCATCAAATGATAACCAACCAACTTGAAACCTTGAATGTGATACTTCAGCTTACAACTTTTTTAATAACTTTATTTACTTCTTAAATAGATCGGACATTAAATCGATTGTACTGATACTCGCCAATGCCAACAGTGAAGTGACCAACGCCAATGTTAGTCCACGTGATGTGCGTACACCTTTGCTGCTGGCATGTGCCATCGTGAATTTAGCTATTGCGCAGCTACTCATTTGGGTAAGTCGTATTATGCTCAATAATTCCTTTGAATTGAATTTTAATCAACATTTTTTCTTCAACAATCGCAGAATGGTGCCAATATTAAGCATACAGACCATGAAGGCCGCACTTGTTTAGCATATGCTCGTGCTGCACAATCACTTGCTACAGCGAAATCAATGAAGGCAGCAGCAGCCGCCGCAGCAGCGTCTGCAAATGCCACAAATGGTTGCAATACGAACACAAACTCGAGCACCGCTAGCAATACGAGTTCCTGTTCCTCAACCGCATCCAACACAGCTACGACTACAACGACCAGTAATGCGACGAATAGCGCCTCAGTCAGTGGTGCGGCTGCAAGTGCTGTAACAAATGGCGGCATACCAGCGCCACAGTATAGTGTAGAGGAGACCACAGCGCTGGTGGATCTACTAACGAGTTTGGGTTGTCCAGAGTCGGCGCCATTAACAGCGAGTGGTACGCTGCCACGACGACGCGATACGCTCGGCACACCCTACGAGAAGACCGTATCGGGTGTCATATAAAAGAATGCAGGAGGAGAGTAATGTCATCAATTGAATTAGATATACATACAATGAACTCTTGATGCTTGCGTTTATCGATAAGTTTATAATCTTAAGTTAAATGCTGTTCAACAGTTCAAGTATATACATATATATTTAAGTAGTATGAAAAGCTATAGAGCAGTGATAGCTGAGAATATTCCACAATATTCGAATGTAGTTGTAGATACAGATATATATGTAGTTATGACTTTGTCCACAGTTAGTATAAGAAAATAAATAATTTTTGTTGCTTCATAGAGAATGCGTTGTCTTTGCTGAGATAAAGGTGTTATTTTAAAAAAGATTTTAATTAGCCAATTTTCTTTGATTTTAGCTTTTTAAATATGAATTTTAATTAAAGAAAATCAAAGAATATCAATTAAAAAATAAATAAATAAATAATATTTTCTCTTAATTCAAATTGACAAGCTTTCCAGCTTTCAATTATGCATTCAAAATCGAAATTAAAAATAACCGAATTTCACTAATCATTTTCAAGCTAATGTGTTTTAAGTTCTAATGTCTGCATAAAATACCTACATACATAAATTCTATATTTTCATTGCTATGTATAAATTCGCATACGAAGTGCGCATTGTTTACACATAGGAAATAGTTCTAAGTGCCGAAAACGGTTTAGAAATGTAAGTTAAAACAGTCAAATGTGGAAAGGCTGCTTTATTTGAAAAAAAAAAAATATCAATAACAATAATACTTTAAAAAATATCATTTAGATCAACAAACAGTAAAAGCTTTTATTTAAATTTATTTTTTATAGAACTTATTTTATTTTGAGTTGTTGTTGAATACAGTGAACGTCTTATGGTTTTGTTTTAAAATATATTTTTGCGAGTATTCTGAAATTTTTTGTTTAAAAATAATGGAAAGCACTCTAAAAAACTGTTTTCCAATATTTAAAATTTGCGAAATTCATTCTTGCAACCTTTATAAGTGCTTTATATTCAATGAAAAATTAAAAAGTAAAAATTCATTTAAGTATAAAAATTTGATTACAAAATAAAGTTGTCTGCTTCCAATTAAACAAATATTATTTTAAAAATGTGTTTAGTACTTTTGTGAAGTAATTTTTTTTTTTGAATTCACTGCATTGACTGCTTGGTCGTTTACTTCATGAATTTTTCGGTCTCGATTTTAAAGTAAAAAAATACTTTTTTCTGTTACAAAAAAAAAAATAAAACAGAATTGTATGAACTTTGTTCATATCTAGATAATATACGGGCCAACCCCATTTGCAATCTCATCACAGCAAAATAGTATATTTCGTGCTAACAACCTTTCAACTGCATCTTTTATTTTTAAATATATACATTTTTAATGTTTATTTCAATTGAGCGTTGTGCGCTTAAAAATTTGTTTCAATGTCTTCGAAAGCTATATTTAGTAGTACAAAAAATATAGTTTGAGTTTCAAAATGTTAAAAAAAAATTCTTGTCTGTTTTTCTTGCAAATTTTTTATCAATTTTTAGTGCAAGATGTATTCAGTTATTATTTAACATACACATTTTAGTTTTCTTTATTACCTCATTATGTTTCGCTATTTTATTTCAAGCATTTGTTATTGAACTTCATTTGAAAAGTTGTTTCAATGTTTGTATGAATTCGTTTCAAAAATGTCTAGTTAGATAAGTGCACGCATATATAAATGTATGTATATTCTTATTATATGCACCAACGAGTACGCTTCATGTTTATAAAAACAATCACTTATAGTTTATATTATATTTGTATGCATATTATTACTTTTTTAATTTTATTATTAATTAGTTGATTTGTATTATGTAAATTTTCAATATATTTAAATATTTTATAAATCACCCATAATTGGTTTGTTTTATTTTCTTTTCACGTTAAATTGTGTGGGAGGAATAAAAAATAAAAATAAATATTTTACACAACTAAGGCCTTTCCAAAACGTGTGAATTTCGATTGAAATAAGTTCAATGCAATGGGCAATAAAAGTATGAATAAAATATATGTATGTAAATACGTGCTGTATAATATTATATTCAAATCTTACAAGGTATTTTTGAAGACAAAGGTTAATAAAAAAAATATTTCAATAATTACAGTAATTAGTAAACTCTATATATTACGTATAACAATAAAATCACAAAACAAAAATAATATTAGTTTGAAAACTTGTAAATATAACTTGCTTAAACCGTAATATACATACTTATGTAATATATGGAATAATGCTGGATTGACAATCCGTACGTGGACTTAAAAGAAAAAATATTTTCTTTACATTTTTGCTTATGGCAACCATATAAATAAATATTAAAATAAATTTAAAAAAAATTCTTAAAGTGAAATTTTTGAAAAAGATAATCACACCGTAGCAATGAAGACCGATAGAAAACTACAAAATGGAAATTCAAATGGTACACGCTTATGTATAGGTGTATATAAACAAATGTATGCTTTTTAGAAAATAAAAACAAAAGCGAATGCGTTGAACAGAGAAACAAAAATCTCCATAAAAAATATAAACATAAAAAAGATATTATATTATGCAGAAAAATTTATAGCTGCATAAATATGCACTCACATGCACATGTCTGTGGTTGATGAACATTCAAAAGGAATATATGTACAGCAAAATGTCATAATATACTAAAGTAAAACTTTATACACAATCTTCCTTATTGGATTTGCAAAATCTGACAAATGCGATTGATGATGACGAATTCCAGTTTAAGGTAAATAGTATTCTGATAACTTGGTAACTTGCATTCATTTCGATGCTCTTTTGGACATATTTTATATGGAAATCACAGAGTGTACAAAAAATGTTCTTTTATTTTTGTAATTTGTTGGTTCAAGCACTGAAATGAGCGTCTAAAAAAAAGGAAGTGTCTGTTTTGGCCACTTGATGACATCTGAAATAAATAAATTAAAAAGATTGTTTCTAGTTGAAACTAGGATTTCGTTGAAAAGAAAAAAAAATTTTTTTGACTTCGAAAAAAACTGACTTTTTTTAATACTATAGAACTTTGGTTGTAAAGTGGAAAGTTATCGTTCAAAACAAGGTTCCAGCTCCAGCGAGCGCTATTGATAACTAGAATAACATATTCACATTGCAGTCTCATCGGTTGGCTAGCCAAATTCGTTTCATCAGAGCCGACCGTAAGTTTCAATAACTTTGCAGCTACCTTGCAACTCAGCGCGTACCACTACGAGACGCTCACAAATATGTAGGTGCTATAACTTCTAAAATTTAAAATTTTCACATTTTATATAATATGTAAAATATGTATATATATAGTACTTTCGAAAAGAAAAAGATTTTTTCAAACCGAGTTACCAGGATTTAATCTTGAACTGCAGCTATTGAAGCTAGTATCGAATTGAAAACATTTCCAATTTTTTAAGTACATATGAATACGTACATATACATTGAAATTTATTGAAATGCACATACATATGTATTTCTACTTAAACTGTATTTATTACGTGCTTATTACTTATATGATAAATATATATATATATATATGAGTAAAAACGTACATATATACGGATACACATACACATATACATATGTATTTAGTAGAAATGCAAGCATAATTATTTATTTAAATTAAATAATATTTCACAATGAAACTTTTGCACATTCACTAAAGAAATGCAATAAATATATATACAATGGAATACCATAAAATTAATCAGTGAAATGTTGTTTTGTAGTTTTCTGAAAATCAAATTGAAAATGTAAGTTTGGTGAGTAAAAATCATATTTTCGCCATATAATAATAGATAACTTTGTCACACCCTACTGTAAGTGTATATCTTTATTGGCCAACTGTCTCCTTAAAATATCAATGGTTTTATTGCTTGTGTGGCACGTAGCGCCGTCTTAACGAAAGTAAACGTTTGTCCAGATTAATACCATTCAATTCCGGCGATAAAAAATCATTAAGTACCTCTCAATAGCCCATTCATTTCCGAAGATGTACAATAAGGACCAATGACCTCGCCGGACCATAAACCGTACACATTGAGTATGGAGAGGCTTTTCAACAATATATTTTGAATTTTCCGTGTCCCAGATGTGGCAGGTTTACTTATTCACGTAGCCATCGACGTGAAAATGGGTCTCATCAGTCAAGATGATTTTTCGATGAAATTTTTACAGTGAATTTCAATGCTTTATTGAAGCTTATATTGTTCCAATTTTTTATACAGGCGTAGTTTTTACTTGCCAAATGTCTAAAAACTACAGCTTGAAAAGCGACATCTACCGGAATAGCTGACTGCTCAAAATAACACCCCTTTATGTGTTGTATTAGCCTGTTCATTTCGGGAAATATGGATCATACATATATTCCCACTGCATTCCCATTAGTAGATTTTTCCAACTGAATATATCAATATGAACAACAAAACAAATATTGCAAATTTATGTGAAATACTTGGCATCGTCAAAACATCTAAAATTATGAAAAGAAAAATGATTTAAAATATTTTAATTAAAACATTTAAATACTAAATTTAAATTAATTTTCTCCCCTGCGAAATGTATTTCTGGTATAAAATAATCATGATCATAAGATTCCATTTAAAAATCAACTGCAGGTCTCTTCATTTGTTGGGAAAGGGCATTAAATATACCAGAAATTGGATGAGCTCGGCCGAAAATCGCTTAAGCGGTTTATATGTACACCAACAACAGTCAATATAATCAATACTTTTTCAACTAAATTTAGCCTATTAAACCTCAAATTTAATCGTTCAAATATGCACGGTTAAAAGAAGTCAAGTAAAATAGTGAGAATTAGCAAGACACAGATGAAGAAGCTACTAGGCAGTCAAAACACCGGTCTCAGGACCGTGATAGGAAACTTTCTGATGTAGCTGCCACATCGAAATATCTATGCTACGAGCTAAAGAGCATATTGTTTTGTTGTGCAAGCTATGCAACCTGCTAAGATGCTACCACAAGAAACTAAACCACCACCTAAGACTACTTGACTTTAAGGACTGCGTTCAGCACCACGAGCACGAACTGTTAGGCAGGTCGGCTTACCAAAAGGCTTTAAACACCATTCCCCTAGAGTCCGTTAACACCTTCTTGAACTCCCGTGCAGTGAATGGCATTCACAGAGTCAAGACACCATCCATTGCAGTCTAAGATTTCGAGCTGCCTCGAGAGCCCCATGCAGTTAAGAAATGAATACAGTAATCGACCAAATTGTTACCTATCCAGACTTGATCACGACATACCCAACGTATATCTAACATACAATGAGTCCCCGCATGGCACTAACCCTAACTCTTTGTATGCCTCTTAAAACCAATTTATTTAAACCCCTTCCTGGAGCCCCCGTTAGACGACATCTATGACCGCTACAACAACAACTACAATAGTGATAAATAAATGATATTTAAAAAAAAATATGTATGTAAGTAAATCAAAACAAGGTCGCTCTCCATCTGATGTTTCCAACGGATTTGGAGATGTTCCTCTTCCTCTGTATCCACCAGCGGATCTTGCTCGAAATATTTTGAAAGGCTGAGTACTTCTATAGAGCACATCTTAGATATGTAGCTCTTTATATATACATAGATGTAAATATGTTTATAACTATTTATTTTTAATAAAATTTATTTAACACTTTTTGTTTGCTTGAAATTGAAAATTCAGTAACATAAAAATTGAAAATTTGAAAATAGCAAGTTACAAATGTTAAAGTAGATTTCTGCAGTTTCCATTCGTTCACAACTTGAGCTGGCTTACGGGGGCGCTGTCTGTCTATATCGCTGTATAGCTCATACAGCCGTGCCCAATACACGAAGTGCTTTCTCCCGAAGACTCCTAAGGCCGACTCATCGGATACTGTCATCGCTCATGATTCGGCACCATATAGCAGGACGAAAGGCTCGTAAAGTATGGTCTTGGCCCGTCGAGAGAGGACTTTAACGGCACAGTTGTTAGGGCCATCGATGTACGCCAGCAGTTGTAAACTCTTATACTCTCGTTTTATTTTTTCCAGCATCAAATTGAAGAAATTCCACGATAAAGAGTCACTCTATCTGAAACCTCTTCGGAGATAACCTTCCCCATTCTGACTTCGCTTCTGTTGTTGTCCAGCGTCGATTTACGCAGCCGTAATATTTATAAGTAATACATACTAAATATTTGGTTTTGCCGAAATCGAAGTCGATATTAAAATGCAAAAAATTCTTTCTACGCTGAATTTACTAAATACTGTTTCGAATATAAACATAATAAAATGTTTTTAAAATAAAATAAAAAATATTAATGAAATTCCTATTTTATTATAATGTTTGAAACTATAAATGACAGCCCCGTGAATTTTTTGTAAACTTCAATCCGTTTGAGATAATTTTCGATCACTTTTTGGCACATATTTAGCGGTGCCTCAGCCATAATTTGATCAATGTTGGTTCTCAAGTGCTTAAGAGTTGAAGATTTCTCCACAAAAACACGGTTTTTCATGTAGCCGCACAAAAAAAGTTCAACGGTGTCAAATCGCACGATCTTCTTGGCTAATTGACATCGCTAAGGCTAAAGATTACGCGGCTGGGAAATTTCTCTCGCAATAAGCGAGACGTTGTTCAGTACGATACACACCACGACACGCACCCTCAAGGAGGAGTTTTATCGCTACTGCTGTGTTTTCTAACAGCCAGCGAGCTTATTAGGAAATTGCACAACTCAGGATGTGGTGTGGTGGCATACGCTGATGACTTTGCTCTAGCAGCAACGGGTATACGTACACAAACTTTAAATGATCTCCTCCAAAATGCTCTTTAGATTGTTAGAGATTGGTGCAAGGACAGCGGACTGGACATCAACCCAGATACAACCGAAGTGGTTCTTTTTACCAGAAGGCACAAACCGACTGATTTTAAGTCACTTAAACTAAAGGGCATGGGTCTCACCCTCTCTACCGAGGTAAAGTATCTCGGCATAATCTTGGATATCACGCTTAACTGGAGCCGGAGCATGGCTGCAAGGACACGGAAAGCTATAACTGCACTTTACTCCTGCAAAACGGCGATAGGAAAAATATGGCGTCTAAGACCGGGTATCGTGCACTGAATTTCTACATCGGAGCCTCACCGAATATTGGAAATCGCGTTGCCTTTGTGGGGCACACAAAATGGTTCGAGCATTTGAGAAGGTGAAAACAAGAGCCTCAGCGGTATCACAATGTGCCTATTGGCCTAAGTGTGCTGGCAACAGCAGCCGCATCAACTTAACTCAACTCAAGTGATCAGCTGGCTTCAGTTGTTGTGGGACCTGGACTTTAAAATGAATGTAGGTGTAAGTCCATGTGCAAAATATACTATAATACGCCGTAAGAAAATCCCAACTTTTGAAAGCGTCGCAAAATAGACACATTTGTTTTTCCGGCTACACTTTCCATTACAGTAGCGATATTTAAACTGGAGCAAGCAAAACTGTGATGGACAGGTATTATTTGTATCTGTAGCCTATCCAATCTCCTGATATTTCTTTAAAACTTTTCGAACTGCTTGAGTAGCTGAAGGATTTTGTACACTATAATCTCCTCTAGAAGCAAAAACGGTGACACATCGGAAAAGAACCCTCCGAGCCGCTCGATACCTAACGCTGTTTCAGACCAGGTGATTCCTAATCGTGTGACTTTTTTAATTTATTGCTGGAGCAACTTATACGAGCTGCAGAGCTGAATAGAGAACGGTAAAATCGCTTGCATGCGCCGATAATATTCACATCATTGGCCTAAGCAACCGTGAGTTCTGATTTCTCTAGACTGCAGAAGCCTATGGAATTGGTAATGAACGAGGGCAAGAAGAAATATATCCTGTCATCAACCAAACATTGATCTGATTCTCGACTCTGCTCTCAGTGTCATGAGTGTCATGACTTTGAGGTCGTAGAAAACTTCGTCTTTCTTCTAACCAATACTACTTTGGATTGAGTAGGAAATTGAAAAATTAAAGAACAAATACCAAACTATACAAGTTGCTTACCGTTCCTTTTCTCGTATATATTGCGGTGGCAAGAACGATGACAACATCTGATGAGTCGGCGTTAGGAATTTTCGACAGAAAGGTTTTTCATAAGTTCTCTACGAGTTGGTAACGGCGAATACTGCAGTAGAGTTGGAGGAGATATACGGTGACATTGTACTACAATTGTTGTTGTTGTTGTAGATGTTCGCTAACCCCGCTTAGGTACGGGTTTGATTAATCTAAATCGACGAGATCATCTAGTGGAAGGTCCAGGAAACAACAGGGGGGGTTTGATGAGTCGGTTTAAGGGGCAAGTGAAGAGGTGGTTAGCGTCGTGCGGTGACTCTCCACATGCAGGGCATACGTTGGATATGCTGGGGTCGAGTCTGGATAAGTAAGAGTTTAACCTGCTACAGTATCCAGGCCTAAGTCGTGCCAAGGGCAAGTCTCAAGACAGTTTTCTCAAGGTTCTGCCTACCGGAGTTGACCCGAGTTTTATCCGGCCAAGAGCTGTCACCCTTTCGGCGACCTAGCCCCGTTTAGGTCAACAGGTAATACAATAGTAGTATTCGCCGGTGGAAGCAAGGGAAGGTTTTCACTTCATTGGCTGGACCAGGTAGTGAAAAACATGGCTGTACTTGATATTTCCATAGAAAGAAAATGAAGAATGAAAGGCGCGCTGTTCTTAACTCGGATATAATCGCTGTCTACGCTAGTAAAGTAAAATAAGAACTGTGAAATTAGGTATTTAGTATTACCTGTACCGTTGTCTGCCTGTAAACAAATTGAGCGAGACAGCTTCGGAAAAGTACGCAAAAATTATAAAAGTGCATTTTGAGCGCGGAGCGAGATACCAGTCGAAGGTGAAAACGATGATTATTGCCTGTTTTGATAGCCGTGGAATCGTCCGCGAAGAATTTCTTCCACCGGGACAAACCATAAATCAAGTCTACTATCGCCAGGTACTCAAAAGATTGCGAAAACGAGTCAAGAGGGTGCGTCCAACCCATTCTGAGTCGATTGAGGACATCCAGGGGGCCGTGACGAGAGTACTCGAGAGTACAGTCGAAACGTTCCAGAAATGTTACGAAGCATGGAAAACGCGCAGGAATCGTTGTACGAGAATAGCTGCCCAAGGGGACAGAGTTGTAGAATAATTTTCAAATAGTTTTTATGGAATCACTGTCATAACTTAATTTACACACCTCGTAGAGCTGAACTGATGAAAGGTGAAAATAGGATTTCGATAAAACTCCATCGAATTTGGGCTCGTTTCATCAGATCGTTGATGAGTATATTGGGGTGGATATGCAATGAAAATGTCATTAAAAAATAAAAAAAAATTAAAATAGAAACATAAAAATAAAACATAAAAAGATCAAATAAAAACAAAAATAAAAAAATAAAAATTAAAATTAAAATATAAAAATAAAAATAAAAAAAATAAAAAAATTAAAATAAAAATAAAAAAATAAAAATAAGAAAATAAAAATAAAAATTAAAAAATAAAAATAAAAAAATAAAAATAAAAAGTAAAACATAAAAAGATCAAATAAAAACAAAAATTAAAAAATTAAAATTAAAATATAAAAAATAAATAAAAATTAAAAAATAAAAATAAGAAAATAAAAAATAAAAATTATAAATAAAATAAAGAGAACAAAAATAAAAAAATGAAAAATTAATATATAAAAATAAAAAAACAAAAATAAAAAAATAAACAATTAATATATAAAAATAAAAAATAAATCAATTTCGGGAAATAAAATATTGTTTTTAAAAATGTTTTCATTTTTTTAATTTTCCTTGTAAATTGAAATATTTGTTCATCAATTCCGCTATAATACTTACATTTATTCCTCGTTCCGTCCTTTCTATGTTGACCACCTGTGTGAAATTTCCACACATTTTCTAAATAAAACAGTGACCAATTTTTTTGCTGTCGAACTTTATTTCATTTTTTTTTCTGCTCTCTTGAAATAAACAATTTTCAAACAAAAATAGTGCAAATATTTAACAATTTGTCCAAACATGTACTTCATAATTTCTTTAGCATATTGAAAAATTTTACTTTTATGTGCTCATATTTCTTAACCCAAAATTAAATGTTGAATTTTACTAAAAGTGAGAATTGAATTTTGAAATTTTCGATATGAAAAAAAGCCGACGAGCAAGTTTTTTTATGTAAATGTAATACATATTAGGTTATCAAGGGTGACAGATGGGAGTTTGTTATTTATATAAGTTTAATTTTATATTTGTTTTGAGTAAAGGCATAATTAAGGTTTAATTAAAAACGTGCTATGCAATTTTTGCTTTTATTAATCGAATGAAATTCAGTTAAAATTAATGAATAAATGATAAAATTTAAAATATTTTTTTTTTATATATTTTTTTTTTTTAATATTAACACAAAAAGTATTTCAAAAAACCTACAATCGCACAACGTTTACGGTAATACATAGCGAGTGTAAGCATATGTAAAGCCGTTGCCGTTAGCTTTGTGGAATTTGGGTGTGCAAGTTATGCGCACAAGAGGGATACGCCCTACGAGTGGCTGAAATTTGACGGTGAGCTTTAAAGCTTTTGTGAAAGCAGCTACACCAACTTGCGGAGCTTTCATGGGGTACTTTTTAATTAAATGTTTTTTGTTTCTTTGTTTATTTAATTAACATTATTTAATGAAAAACCACGAGAACGAAAGAGGAAAATGTTGAATGGGGGTTGGTTGCTTTAACTAAGTAAATGATGATTATGTCTATAATTAAAGTAAATTATATAATTATTTATTGCTTCAAACTATTATACTGATTCGATTAAATTTTTTTTTTTTTTTGTTGAAGAACTGTCCAAATTTATGCTCTTCACAAATACGACACATGGATAGCCAGGGCATTTAAAGTGGCTGGTAGGTAATTTTGATAACTCAGCGGAAAATGTGTAAGCGTTGAATGGCCAAAAATTAATGTTATTCCTTTTTCTCTGAATGTGCAAAAAAACTGAATTTGAATGTGGATTAACTTCACATATTTACTGATGTTCATATTAATTAATTAAATATATCTGCTGAATTATCTACCATAGTTTTACAAAATTTCCGTAACCATAAATTACACAAGGAATATTTATATTAGTTTATCATAAAAATTGGGTTTATTAGTAACCATATGGTGTAAAACAGAAAAAATGAACAATATTATAAATAATTTTTGAGCACTTCGATATGTTAATTTTGAACAAAGGGGAAAATCTCTGAAACAAATTTCATCAAGACGTAAAAATTTGCATTAAATGGATGTAAATTAAATCAATATATCGTTGATTGCATTAAGTATTGCTGAATATTGAAACATTTCAAAGATGAATCCAAGATGGTTTTACAGTTAAGTAATAAGAATCGCTGATTTTTCAGCTACAATTATGAAATTATGATTTTTTTTTATTTGATTTGATATATATTAGCTTCCAAAAAATGGCATAAAACCAAGCTCTTCTGTATTTTATCAACGAAATTGTTTTAACATAACTTTTGCTTTCTGCATTGCTCAATTCATACATATATATGTATTATTACAAATGTTTTATAAGCATATAAAATTGAATGGAATTAAGGTCATTTATGAGCGTCTCGAAATATAAAAGAAAACTTTAAGTACACATAATATGGCCAAAATTGTGCCCAATAATTCAAAAGTATGTTGTGTAAATTTCTTTTATATTTCTTTTATATTTCGCTCAATACTACCTCACATATATACAAACAGAAACTCCTACACTTAGCGGTGAACTTCGGGAGTCATGCTAGTAGATCGGCCAAAGGCTGCAGCAGAATATCCTAATATTTTCAGCATATTTTTATTCGGAAGTTGCTATTGAAAAGACTTTGTACTGTATTTAGCATTTGTAGTGTCAAACATAGTTATTAATGTAAAATTTTCGCCTCGACTAAATGTATCAGTAAATGATGAACCATATTTGTGGCATGTTTGTTGTTTTTAGCAAATGATATACTACTTGTTGAGTTGCCAAAATAATTTGAATGCGCATATTATGAACATTATGAATTTTCACGTTTGATGTTGAAAAGCTATTTTAAGCATACAATATATGTATTGCAGATTTCAAAAAATGAGCCCCTTCCATTGAAACACCGCATAAAATATAAAATTACAAATAAGAGAAACATTAACACAATTCTGATGAGTATAGTGGGCAGCCACCGATTTGGTTTGCAAAGCTTTGTGTTGGATTGTAACTATTACTTTATTACAAATCGATTTGAAAAGGGATATCCAATAATCTCAGAGATATTAAAAAAAATAATTGTTCATTTTTGAATATTTAAAAAAAACATTTGATACTGAGTTTTACTATTAAATTTCTGATTATTTTAATTTCTCTTCAATCTCTAATATTTGTTTGCAATTGTTTATATAGAGTGTGATTTGAGCTGTAAAAAAGTTTCTATTTGTCAAATTAACCGCTGCTCCACCGCCAAAGGATGTCTATTGAATCGCCGAAATGCTACATCTAAAATACGCTACCATAGCCATCAAACAAAAAAAAAAAAACGTTTTCCCACAAACGAGTTGGTTATCCAATGCAACCATTTTCACATGTTACCGTGATTTGTTTGAAGAATGTTGCTTTCGATACTGTTACCCGAAAATTACGATTTCTTCTTATACTTCCACACATGCATATATCATCGGTACATTCTTACTACCATTAATCGTTCTCATTATCATAACCTTCACCTTCCTATTCATTCTCATTGTGGTCGTGATGTTTTCAAATAAACTCGTTAAGGTTAAAATTTCTTCTAGGACTTTTTTTCTTCTCTTTTTTTTTGATTTTGAACTGCACGAATGCACTTACAGTCCCTTTTATAGTTGTTGATTTTGCTGCTGCTGCTGTTACTACTGCCGCTGTTGTTGCCATAATGGCTGCCGCCGCTTTTGTTGTTGTTGCGTTGAATTAATTCACTCATCCTTCACGTTTTGGAATTTTTTCTGTGTTGTAGGTTTGGTTTTGTTTGAATTGATTTGATTTTTTTTTTCGTTTTCATAGATCCTTAATCCTTCATAAGCTCTTGTTTTTATTTATCTCCTCATATAATCATCTCTTTCTTCCGTTTTATTCTCCTCATTTGTTTTTATGATCTTGAGTTCACACAAAACGCTCCACGCAGGCGTTGCTCCTGCAGCGTGTATGATTTCATTTTTTGTTTGCCTTGAATTTCGAATAGAAATTAGAAATCTGTTCATAACGTACTGGTATAGCGTCCAAAATGCCTGTGAAACTGAAATTCGTTTGATTGCGTTGTTTTTCGTAAAGCGAATCGCCAGACAAGTAAGTAACGACATTGGTTTGGAACTCTGTGGATTTTGGATCAGAATGATTGGCAACAAGATGATTACAGAATTGTGCAATTTGCAGGAAGACACTGGCATCACGGTCTGAAATACATTTGAATTGGTAAATTTCGAAATGAAAGTGAAATTCCAATAGGCAGATGATTTTTGCACTTACCTAATTTTCTTGGTATCTTCAGCAAAGAAAGGGTCAAATTCTCATTGTCCCTCTGGGCGCGCAAATGACGGTTTCCATGCTTAAACTCCTGTTCCAGCCAACGTATGACATTGCGAGCGTTTTCGCTGCGCTTTTTCAAATCATCCAACTCGTTCAAAACTAGGTATTCAAGGCAAAGAATCATTAAATAAAGTTGAACATTTTTGGTAGTTATGAAGTTAATAATTTTACCTGCATTTGGAATGAGCACAATGAACTTTTTAGTTTTTACTAAATTTTTCACAATACCATTGTACTCGGTTAAAGCCTTGGCATCAACCACCAAGAAAGGAGTCATGATGATATTCATTGGGTTCTTGCGTAACTGTAATATTAGTAAGTATTGTGAACGTAAATAAAAAAAATGTATTGATGTTCTTATTATAGCAGCCTGCTAGAAGCTTCACTTACCTCCTCCTCGAGAGTCTCGACTTCATTCTTTAGCCACAACTTCCCCATAATTTCACATTTCTTCGACATTGCCTCTGAACGTTCTTCGTCAGCACCACTGCTCGATTGCATCAAAATTTTGTCACAAATTGCGCTGTTCGTAGTCGTAGAAGCTGATGTCCCACCACCGCCTCCGCCACCAGCACCGCCCGAATTACCACTGGTTATTGATTTTTCCATATTTCGATTACGCAAATATCCTTTACGTGGTACTTTTTTACACTCTTCAACAGTGTCTTTTTCCTCATTGCTTGTATAACTTTTGCGTACGATGCCATTCTTACGATCCGAGTAACGGCGAGTACGTCCTTCGACCCTTTTGCGTGTAGCATTTTTCATAGTACGTCGTTCCCGACGTCGTGATGACGATTTTTTCTCTTCGCGCTTCTTCTTGGCGTTTTCAGTAAAACGCCGTGTTTTCACACAAAAGCGGTAATTGAATTTCTTTTGCTTGCAAATGAAAAATCCGAAATCAACCATTTTAAAGATACGCAAAATGCACTCCTCTTCGGGTGTAACGTGCTCACGTATGGTGGTCTCCCAATCGAGCGTTAGTTGAGTGCCTTGGAAGATGTCGAAATTTTTAAAAACAAAATCCTCAGCCAATGGAACGTTAGCACGTACATCAAAGAGATCTCCAAGTTGGGTGCGTACATTGGGTGTGGTGAGAAACTCACGCTCGAAATATACTTTACGTGTAAATATATCAATATTACAATAGTTCAACAACTTCATTATTTTATGTATGAACTCGGGATTTGAATGATAACAACCGAATAGAATTTCATGATTTATCCGTAGCCAATCGTAAAGAATCTTTAGAGCACGCATGGTTGGTTCATGGCGGGCAAACTCAACTATTATATTCGGATTAATCTTAGTGTACTTGTTGCGATAAACGAGTTTCTTTGGTGGCTCGCCAGGATTTAGATTGACATCATCAGTGGTGTGATGCTTGTCATTTTTTTGAGCGCCTGGTGGCAATAACTCCTCATTGTCAGTGCTTTTGAAGTTAAGAGAGTCACTACCATTCAATTGTAGTACTTCAAAACTATGCAGTAATTCCTCACTATCAACTTCCTGTGAATCGGTACGTTGTTTTGCCAACTGCGATTGCTGCTCATCAGGATAAATAATTTTCTCCTCTTCAATAACAATATCTTCATTGTCGGAGAATGTCGGACCGACGCCCTCATTAGAAGTTAGGCTTTCCTTGGAAGCACCAGAAAATAAGCGTGGTGTAATTTCCTTCTGTGGCTCTAATTTAGAAGAATGTTTGGCAAAATCTTTAAAAAAGAATGCACTATTATTATTCTCAAAAAATTATATATATAAATATTTTTTTATTTAGTTCTGTTATACATAAAATTTAACATACCAGTTTCATCACAATCTTCACGATCGTCAGCAACTGGTTCCGCTTCAATATCGCTAAAATCAGTATCGAAATTCGAACTCAGATCAGTGTAATCTTCGTCCTCGGTGCTAAAATCGGTATCCATATCACTTTCAGTGTCGTAGCATGAACTATCGTCAGATTGCGCAATTTTACGCCTACGCCGACGCAATTTCATGCCTTTCTTCTTGCTCTTACAGGATAAGGGTGTTTTAAGATCACTCTCCTTGGCTTCATCACTCGAACGTGTAGATATAGGATCAACATTCTTATCCGGACCGCCATTAATTTTTGTATGTTTATGACTATCTTGGGTTTTGTTAATATACTCATCATGGGAGTGTTGACTCTCACGTGAATCGGACGAGCAGTCCTTTAGTGACAGTTTAGCGTTTAGCTTCTTCTCTTTCCTGTCAGCTTCACCGATCGTAACAAGCCAATTTTTATATTCATTCCGAGACTTGCGCACAACTAAATTGAATTCTTCAAACCTCTCAGCGTACACACCATGGAATTTTTCGTTCTCAGGGGATTTTGCTAAAATCGTTTGCTCGAGATTTACAATGCATGCATCCATCAAATCAGAGCACACAGCTACTAAGAAAGCATTTAGAGAATAAACCTTTTGCGAATTAATCATCTTTAACTTCGACAAGCAGAAAAATAGTATTGAAATTATTTTAAATATGCACCCCTCCTCGATGGTAAAAGCTTTTGAACATAGAACTTTACGCAAATCTACAAGCACGCAATGACACAGAGAATTAAAATCTGGTACTTCTTTATCGAAGAAAAATATATCAACAATTAAATAAAAACGCGCGTAGAAATCTTGTAAGCTAAACTCTATCTTCTCTGGGTCCAATTTTTCCAAGTACTCAGCATGTGCGGAAAATAGTTTACAAACGTTATTTTCACTCAATTCAAATGGTACAATGCTAACCAATGAATATAAATAGTGATAGATTGAATCCAAATCGTAATTCTGGCCGTAGTAAAGGGTGCCGAGTTGATTTTGAGACATGCCAATTGCTGGATTCAATTTAAATGCTTCAAAATAGTATTTGGCTGCCTGTTCTTTAGTTATCTTAAGATGAGTGTCAATGCGGAAATCCAAGAAATAACGGTGTAAGTCCCCGAGACTTAAGAGTGCTGAATGTATAGTATCCAATGCAAATGAAACGGCCTCTAAACTTTTATCGACAGGATGTGCAGCACTAATATCGCCACCAACACAATTGCTGTCAGGTATTTGCTTATTTTCCATTTCACGTATATAATTTTCGCTTATGATGGTAAAATCTATTAAATACTTCAAATCAAGATCGTATATCTCTTCCATTTTTGCGGCCATTCGCTTATAATTTGATATACCAGCGCAAAGAAAGCGTTCCAATTTTTGAAGATTATCCTGTGAGCTCGGCTGGGTGGTATCCTTCAATTCCCTATGCCAATTCTTCTTCACATAAGCTATAAATTCGTAATAACCTTTGCGCCACATAATTTCACGCGCCTTTTTACCCACTGATTGATAATCCTTAAAAACGATCTTCTTACAGAGTTGCACCAACTGGGACCGTTTTTGCTCCAAGTCATTTTGAAATAATTCTGTAATTGAGTGAATATGCTTTTTCTCGTCGTCCAATTGCTTAGCTACGATATATAGCGACCTAATGAATAAAAAAATGCAATCAATTAATACATAATAAATTCTATTTCATTTTTTACAACTGTAAACATAATTATTTTTTAAGAATATATAAAATATAAATTTCTAACTCAAAAGGATTAACCATTAGGGTTTGAAGTTCAATCCAGATAAGAGAAGTCTATTGCCAAAGGTAAGAGTTACAGCATCGTCGGGTCCTTTGAACAATGTGTCCGGGATTTTATTACCGCCAACAAACACAATATTGAGAAATATTTTTGATCCTACAGCCGCAACAACAAATGTAAAGAATATTTTAATTTAACAAAAAAAAGAGAAAATGAGTCCCCCAGGCAACATATTTATCGCCGGTAATATCGCCATCTTCTCGATTCCTTATTACCAGTCGTACTAAGTGGCCGCCAAAGGCAACTCTCCTAATCGAGCAATTTCTTATTGTCTGAATTAATGTAACATTTCAGTTTTCGAATGTGAACAAGAAGCAAGTGTTCTCGCTTTATCACTACGGCGAGTTTTTTATTTGTTGCCTATTTCTAATGTCTTGCATTATGTGTACCAACATATAAAGTCAAGTACACAATAACAACAAATATCCATAACGGAAATGAAATTAATAGGTATGTATGTATGTATGATAATGTGAGCCTAACAAAATTAAGTACTGTATGCAATAATTACTGATAACACCAGTCTGGTTAAAAACTACATGATTAAGCAGAAATGTTCATATACATTTAAAGATTGGAATTAAAGTAGAATGCATCTTTATGCAATTAAGGCCTCAAAATTCAACATACATATATAGGACGTTTATATAAATTCATAGTCAATAAACCTGGATAGATTTGCAAAGCTTTATACGTCATAATTACCTATAAATCTCCTTCACTTCAGGTGTCAAACCGTTGCCATTTCCGCCACTGTTTTGGGTGACATTCTTGTTGTAAATAATATCACTAGCGCCACCGCTTCCATTGCTACCTCCGGCATTAACAACTGCACTGCTTTGGCAGTAACCTCCAACACTATCTCCGGAGGCATTCGAGCCTCCAGAACTGAAGCATTGCTCCATTATTTATGGTAATAATTATGGGACTTTGATTTTGTGGTATTATTTTGTGGTAATTAAATATTCGTAATTTTTGTTTTAAGCACTATGCCTCGTGTAGATGCTATAGGAAAAAAACAGACAAGGAAATATAATATATTTTGTAGAAAACAGGGACTATAAATATATTTTGAAAAGCAAACAAAAAAAATTGTTATATGAAATGGAATTTGACAACCATATAAAGTATGTTTTAAATAATTTTATTTCCAAGTAGAAAAAAAAATATATTTATAACGGTATTCGTCTCAACGGCAAGTAGTCTGTTAGGGGATGACATTGTATTTTTAAAACCTAAACAGTTGCATATATGTATATCTAAAATGTTTATATATTAACGTCCGTATATTGTAAACTTTAATTGCAAACATTTAGATATTATCCTACAGTTGTATATAAAGTCCAATGGCACAATTCTAACTAACTCTCGAAATATTATTTGATGTTATTTATTTTGAATTTTTTGCATTTTTCAAGACATCACACTGCAACTAGATTAACAACATCTTATCTTTCAAAATTGTCTTCTTGTTGAATCTTTTGGAATTCTTCCAGAAATAATTGTACATACATCTGTATTGCATTGTTTTTAAATATATGTATATAAATTGCGTCGTCTTTGTTCCCTCTGCACTTCTTTCTCATGATGACTAACCCTTATATACATATATGTATATCTAAGAGAATATATGCATTTTGAAGCCTGTTTTTCATATTGAATAATCAATACATCATTTTTAAAATCACAATTGAGACTTTAACGCATGTTTTTATAACAGAATCTATGCTGACACCTCAATTTTAGTTTTTCATAGGTACCTTATTGCGAAATTATCAAACTATACCGTTGCCTTTTTAAAAAAAAAATTAATGTATCACTATGAGCACGTTATTTATTAAAAAAAAATCCAACGTCTGCAGTTTTTTTCGCTACAAAATATTATATTTCTCTTCACCAAGAACACAAAATGTAAAATTGCAGCTGGTTTTATTTTACAATCTGCTTTTGCCTTGTGCTTTTGCTTTTGGCAATTTTCGACCCTTGATTTTCAACAAATTTTCTTCAGAATATATAGCTATCTCTCTTACACTCTAAACAATATATGTACGTTTCTTGCCTTAATTTGCAACAATTTTAGTTTGTACTGTTTATTCATCTCTCTCTCATCCACAGAGCTAAAATTCACAATATACGGAATATACAGAGTTGCTTCAATTTTCTCAAAGTTATGTAAGAGTACTTGGATCCATGATTGGAAAATCCTTCGAGTTCGATCACTGGATTGTTAAATAAGAGATTTACAATTTCTAGTCATGTGTTACGATTTTGCTGAATCAACCTCGAAGATTTTCTGAATCGGGTACGATCTCTGGATTGTTAAATAAAAAATCGCCAAATTAATTTGCAGTTACTTGCATTAAACGAATTTATCTAATGTCCTTTACTTGCATAAACTTTCACAATTTACTTTACTTAAATATAATCTCCAACGCGTTTACTTGACGACTCGAATAGTTTAATCCGCTATACTCTATGATGTCGCCAATGAGTTCACTTTGTAACTAACTTAACTTGGCAGCTGAGTGTAGAATAATCGTGTTGTTCGCTATAGAAGGTTCTCGTTTTATCGTTCTAGAATGTACTACTAGCCACAATATTGTTGTTGCGAAAATGCGAGGCGAATGTCAGATGAAAGAGAGAAGCCGATAACTAATACATTCTAGAAACGATAAAACAAGAACCTTCGATAGCGAACAGATCGATGATTCTACGCTTTCGTCTGCGAGCAGCCGACTGCTATATAAGGGGACACTCAGCTGCCAAGTTAAGTTAGTTACAAAGTGAACTGGTTGGCGTTGACATCAGTACAGTCGTATAGTAAACGCGTTGGAGATTACATTTAAGTAAAGTAAATTGTGAAAGTTGATGCTAGTGATTGTAAATAGTAAAGTGCATTATAATTGAATTGTTAATTATTGAGAAAATAAAGGACATTAGATTAATTCTTTATAACAAAAGAAACTGCAAATTAAGTTGGAGTTTTTTTTTATTTAACAATCCAGAGATCGTACCCGAAGGATTTAGAAAATAATCGAGGTTGATTTAGTAAAATCGTAACAATATCTTGTGAGAGTGTTATGTAAATGTGTAGTTACCATCGCTTTGCCGTCAATAGATAAAGGTTGTAAGTGGAATTGGGAGCATAGCTATTTCTTCAGAGCTTGGAAGAACTCCCATTTTTCATTCTCTTCTTCTTCTCTAAGGCTCTACTTTCCCTACTGGCGAATTAGGAACTTTTAGGTGTTAATAAGTGTACGACCGTAACTCATGCAAACTCCTAGGCCTTGGTCAATCCTTCACTGCTTTTATAATATCCTTTGCTGGGTAGGCACTTTCTATTTTGACCTGATGATCTAATTAATACACATTCCTCCTGAATTTCGAGCACCTTTTAAGACTTAGTTTGAAACCAGCACCAGCTATCTTTTTATTTGGAAAGTTTATTTCAATTTGAACAGGTTTCCTTCAGAAATTTTACCCAAAAGGAAGAATTCCTTCATACACAGCGCTACAATGTTTCCCAACTCTACTTCTGCCTGGTTCATTGTCTTTCTTGTGGAATATTTTTGAGTATTTGCGAGAAATTGGTCGGTCTTACGTATTTTTCTCTACAAACTTTGCGTACATGCATGAGTACCTTTTCGCTAATGGAATCGTTTTCAGGTAAATATCCGCAGTTGATGGTATATTCCGCCTCTTCGTATGGTTCCAATACAGTTCCTTATCGAAGTTTCATTGATTTAAATTCATTGAGTTCTCGAACTGGGATGCGTCAATGTTCTATTCTTTTTTCTCGGCAAGTAGTTTACCATTAGGTATGTTCTGTGCGACTGTGATCTTGAGTAACACCTCCACATTTCCTATTACGACCTTAAATGTTACTTCCTTACAACTTGGGTGTTGTCGTCCTCAATCTCGCTTCATTAGTGGTCAGGTCCGATCGTGTAATGAAGTACGGCTACGGATTAAAAAGGATTCGCTCTTATCTATCCACATAGTAATGTTTCTGGCTCTATTACCGATATGCAAGATGCATCTGCTCTATCACACCTGCAATTTCTACTTCCACATTGTATGCCTTAGGAGAGCCACCGCTTTACGAGACCGATCGAACCCGAAAGTTTCAACATAAGTTAACTTTGGATTTGCATATATGTCGTCGTACATATGAGCTTTACGACATTGTTGAACCTCTGGATTGTTACCCTTAATTTTTTATTAATTGCTTAATCCTACACCCGATTATGAGTTGGAGGCAGTGTTGAAATTTACTTGCTCTATTAGAGGTAAATTCAGAATGGGGTTAATATGAGGGCTGGCAAGTCCCACTTTGGTAAATTTTGGTAAAATTTGAAGCGAGTAATTGTGTTTTGACAAAAAATTATCAACATGGGTTACCGCTTCTACTTATGTAGAGAATGTGTATATTCTACCCTAGTAGCCTAACCTCGTGGTGAAAGTGTTTATGCTTGCGAGTTTGATCCACCGGAGTATAATAAAACCGAGTAGAAATGAATATTAAACTTCATTACATTACTACAACTATCACGTTACAATCAATAATTCTGAAGCATAGCGTATCAATTGTTCCATAATGTGTACGATTAGTAGCTTCTCTATTACCATTAGTTGTCAATTTCTGTTCGCATGTTCTTTTACAATTATCTGTCAAACAGTTGCATCCCTGATTTTTTGACACGAGTTGTTGGGTTTCTGCTTTGCTTCCTTTCCTTCTCTGTTTCTACTCAAAATGGGTGAGTGCGGCTTTTTCATGATTGCAATAAATTTTCAAGAAAATCCTATGACATCATTGTTGTAAAGAGTGAAAAATATGTTGAAGATGTGTTTAAATTAACTATAAATATGCGAATTATTAACTGGTATGAATATTTGCGTTGATGGTGGCTAATTATTTTGATTAATTGACAGTGCATTTGATCCTTGTCAAATAGAAAAGCTGAAAATAGTAAAAATGGTAGTGTGTGGATTTTCTTGGAAATATATTGCTTGTGATAAAATTAACATAAAAGAATGTATATAGTAAAACTCAATAATTCCAGGTATTAGCCGCGATAGTGCTCACAAGCGCCGTGCCACTGGTGGCAAACGCAAATCGCTCCGTAAGAAGCGCAAGTTCGAGTTAGGTCGTCCAGCTGCCAATACCAAGGTATGTATTTGTTCAAGTATTTGGGTTATTTAAAAGTTCTGAAAAGCTTAACACTTTGGTGGAAATCTAATTTTTAAAATCAATGTGAAATGCTTGTATGATATTACTGATGATTAAATATGTTAACTGTAAGCGCATACACCCCCTTTCGGGGATGTATATTTTTTGATGAATGCATAATTATGTTCGGACTACTGATTCTTAAAATCCATAAGTTTATGTTAATTGTATAAACCAGAAATAATATTTCCACAAATTATTTCAGCTTGGAGCTCCACGTATCCACAAAGTACGCACACGCGGTGGTAACACCAAATTCCGTGCTCTTCGTTTGGAAACTGGTAACTTTGCATGGGCTTCTGAGGGTATCGCTCGTCGTACTCGTATCGCTGATGTTGTATACAATGCATCCAACAATGAATTGGTGCGTACCAAAACTTTGGTAAAAAACACCATTGTTGTCATTGATGCTACACCATTCCGTCAATGGTATGAGTCGCACTACGTTCTGCCTTTGGGTCGTAAACGTAACCCTAAGCACCAGAAAACTGAAGATGAAAATGACGTGCTGAACAAGAAGCGCAGTGAAAAAGTAATGAAGAAATACTTGGAACGTCAAAAGTTCGCTAAAGTCGAACCTGCCCTCGAAGATCAATTCATTTCTGGACGTATCCTTGGTGAGTTTTATTAGTGTTATACTTTTTTCCAAGCATTAAAAAGTAAAGTGATGTTAATATCCTAAGCGATCCAACTAAATTTATTGTATCAAACTCGTTTTGAGTGCGATACAAGCCTGTTGGATGTGATTTAGCTTGTCATAGTTACTCTGATTTATCTAAAAAATATTTCACAGCTTATTTTTTGCATTTGTTTGGATTTACTAATTTGCGTTTTTTATTTCAGCCTGCGTTTCATCCCGCCCAGGTCAATGTGGCCGTTCTGATGGTTACATCTTAGAGGGTAAAGAATTGGAGTTCTATCTTAAGAAAATTAAATCAAAGAAATAAACATCCATAAACAATATCAATGAAATGGCGTTGAGTTTTTACAAAAATTAAAACAAATAAAAATAATGCTGCGTTTTTGTAACATTAAGAATATAAGTACGACTGCTGATTATTTAGCATTTACCAAATGGGAACGTACCCTAACTAACTATGTTAATTGAAGTTGTGTAGTTGTTGATAATTTCGTAACAGATATCCAGATTTTTCTTGAATTAAAAATAGCTAAATGGGAGGGCTGGCGCTCTGCTCTGCGGTACACATTTTTTCTTTAATTACAAGGGTATGATGCTGAATAGTGCCTTGCAGAGAAGAAATGGAGAAAGGTGTTCGAGATGGCGGTTTACGTTGGCAGTCTACAATAGCGAGCATTCAATGGAATATAACAGTGGGGAGTGGACATCGCCCTACATAATCACTTCTTTCTGATTTGGATGTTTTAACCTCGAATTGTACTGATTATTGTAATCGCCAAATATTCCCGGAATTGCCTTTCAGGGAATATTGCGGGATTGACAATATTTGGCCGTCCGGGTCATTGCAGTTTAAAGATAGTCCCGCTGGTCCTAGGTGTTTTAGCATCAGCATTCTTATTCCGTAGGTGTCGATGGTTTTTGGCGCTGGTGTTTTACAATTAGTCGTTTCATTTTGTCAACAGAGGGGTGCAGTGTCAAATGTCAGCTATAATAGTTCGCGTACATCGGGAAATTAGGGCGGATTTCGCAAGTCGGTCTGCCGGTATGAATGGGGTGGCAGCAGACACTAAAATCCTGTAGAAGGAGCGTTAACCCTAAAGGTTCTCTACGAACTCGATGAGTGTGCAAGCTGGCTTTTTTTTTGGTAACTAACGATTGTCCGGCGCCTGTTAATGGGTATGTGGTCTGATGTTAGCGTCAGCATAAATCTTCAGATCCGACTATCACTGTGCTGTGTTGCTGCCCGTCGGATGGTAATAGTTTGTGGGTGGGACTGTTACAGTTGCAAGCGGTGCACACTCAGCAGATTTAACTAGACGGAACAGGGTTATGTTCAACGACAGCCCTGATGAGATGTATTTGAAGCAACCTAACTGCAAAGGCTAGTGCGTAGAGCCAGCTGCCGTGAATAGTATATTATTGTCGACAGTATCACATTTCGATTACATTCCTGCATTCTGAATAAAATGTGAAGTAAAGAGTGTTAAATGACTGGGAGTGAACTTTTCCATTGTCCCGAGAAATCAGTTGTGCAAGTATAATTCTTGGTCTGATAGGTATGAACTCTTTGTACTCTCTGCTTACACCATTCGAAGAGAGTTGAAAAAAATGTTGTTTTTTTTTATTGACGTGGGCACTGTTTACGCGATTTAAGTTAATAACATGCCTGACGGCGATCAGCGTACACTGCCGAGGTGCCGATTTATTGACATCCGCTGTAGAATGAGGAATGGAGGTGTGCAGGCTGTAGAATTTCACTTCAAGTAACTTTGAGTTATTAACAGCCGTAACTTTGAAATTTAGATCAAGTTGTCTTTGGGGACAGTGAAGGAGTGATAGAAGCCGGAGAGATAACTTTATTTTCAACTAAAATCGCTTGGAAAAGTAAAAATTGAAGAATAGCGGACAAGATAGCACACTGCTGTATCTCTGGGAAGCTCCTTTGCAACCGCAACATGTTCATAAGCTCCTTCTGTATCTTAAAAATATATAAACGTATTTGCCTTAGCATGATCATACGCCCTTCCCTAGGTTATGATAATGGAATCCCTGACTCTTCCAACTTCCTGGAATATATAAAAGCTTGTTCGAGTCTCGTCAGCTCATTTTTATTATTCGGAAATAAGGCTTTCCAAAAAAGCATTATCCAACACAATTAAGGAGAGAAGCGGGAAGTTATTGCCATATACAATATTATACATGCGGACAATGGAATAAATCAAAGCAAAACACAATCTATATGAAAATATGGTCCAATTAACATTGCGATGAACTGGGACTGGACAATATACATACTACACTCTGCTTAAATTCCGTGGAATTTAAATTAAACTAGTTTAGAATAAATCCATGGAGTCATGGAGTACCTACAGTGGGTTATGATAAGGTGGGCGCGGTAAACGAGTTGTTAGCATTGCGTACTGCCGTTCGGACGGCCCGGGCTCGAATCCTGGACCAACAACCAAAAGTTATAGAAAATTATTTTAAATAAAAAAATAAGTTAAATTTTCTAATTCTGACACGAAATAAAGCTCCTCATAAAAAAACACTAGCCGGTCGAAGGCGACTTAGAATTAACTGTAGGTCCCTCCATTTGTTGGAAAAAGATCAAGATACAAAACCACAAATTGGAGTACGCGATCGGCCGAAAATCTCTTCAGCGGTTACAAAGCACCAATTCGCTTTGGTCAAAACATACAATGATGAACTAAGGTATTGGTACAGCGAGATAGTTCAACTTTAACACTTTTTTTTGACTAGTTATGAGAATATTTTTAATTCAATTCTTCAATTCATTTTATTATCTTTAATTGTTAATGAAAGAAGAAGAATTTTCAATAACAAAAAGTATTGGCACACTTCATAAAAACAAAAAATATTTATGTATAATTAAATGGTAAAATATTAACGAAACTGGTTTGCTTATGTACTCTTTAGCATGGGCTAAACGATTCTTTTGGTTCACTTTTGAAATTAGGGGCTTGTGTCTAGCTACACGAGAATGAAAATTAGCTTCATGCAATATTCTGCGTGACCGTTATTGGATAAATATCCTTTCCCAACTCTTCTTTAACTTCCGCTGCGATTTGTGTGGAAGATAATCTTGGGTTTCTTTTACCTTTCTAACTTAAAAATATTTTCATAAGTGCTCAAAAAGAAGTGTTAAATTTGAATTATCATCTTTTTTTATCTGCATTGGAATATACAAGTTAACACAAGTAGCCAATCATCCGGCCAAAATATTGCTTCACAATATTGCTTTAATCTGCTGACGGCGCGTCTACAACTTTGCGCGTGACAACAACAAACCAAATACAAGACAGTAAGCGGAATTGGTTCACGCGGCTAATAACGTGCAGCGACTAAAGTTAGGGCAAACAGTGTAGGTATTTAGACGCTAGCGTCGCTCTTGTGTAATTTAGTTATAATAACTCTTCCGCTGAGACCGGCTGCCCTTGTTAAGTGCAAGGGAAATAAAAATATTTAAAAACGAAGTTAACAGATCGTTTTACTTACAGTATTAGGCATCCCACTAATTACTGAATTTTTTGTTTTAACAAGTGAAGCAATGAAGTTTTATTAGGAAAATTGTGAAAATACAATGAATTAATGATAATACCATTAATATTTAGTAGGTCCACCCTTCGATTTAAGGGGCACACCTAGTGTAATGGCCTAAAAAAGGTGATTTTTGGGAATTTTATTAAAAAAAAAAAATACTTTACCAATTATTTCAAAATTTTACGAATATATTTATACATGTTTCAAGAATATACAGTGAAATTTTTGAAGAAAAAAATTAAATATTTTTTAAGTTATAGACGATCTCCAACGGCGCGAAAAAAGGTCCTACACTGCTGCAGTGATTCCGGCCTTCTCCGTAGATTAAATCTTAAAAAAGTCTCTACCAGATAATATTATCTGTACAATGACCTACAAGAAAGAAAAATAAAAAATTGACAATATGGCGACGTTTTAAAAAAAGTAGTCGAATTTTACCCAAAATTTTGGTCGTATTTGGCAGGCTTTTTGATCAGATCAAAAATCGTTAGGTCATTGTACGAAAAACTATATATAGAACATGTAAAAAAAATTCGATAGTGATCGGATCATTTGTTTTTGAGTAATCACTGCAGTAAATTCGGAAAATGCTGTTTCGAGAAAACCGCGTTTAAAGATAAAGTGATCGTTTTCACTCGTAGCTAATCTAGCTGCCGAGCGACTGCTCTTTAAATAGCTATAACTAAAAAACTTTTTAAGATGTCGATTTGAAATTTTAATATGTTATTTTTAAAGGTGTAATCTACCGAAATTAATGATCGAAGAAATTTCACACTAGGTGTGCCCCTTAATAACGACAGCAATTCTCTTAGGCATGCTGCGTACAAGCTTTACACATTCGTCCGCACTTATAGCGTACCACTCGCTAATTAAGCTATTCTTTAAGACAGTTTTTGATGTTATACTGTGTTCCTTAATCTTGCGTTTTAGAATAGCCCACATGTGCTCAATGGGATTAAGATCTGGAGACTATGATAACAAAACAATGTTGTTATCTATAAACCAACGCAGTCACTGATTTGTGACAAGGAGCATTGTCTTGCTGAAATTGAACCCCGTATAAATTAGTATCGTCGAAAATGCGCGTTAACGAAGGCAGAAGAACAGTTTCTAAGGCATTTATATACTTTGCGACCCTCGCAAACGGACATTTCGTCGACAACGTCAGGAGCCATGCAGCCCCAGATTATAATGCTGCCTCCTCCATGCTTAACAGTGGGTACTACGCAATCTGGATGATATTCTGCCCCAACCCGTCACTCCAGGTGTGCCTGATAGCACGCACCGCGAACATCCCATCAAATTGGCAATCTCAACCTGAGATTTACCTTCTTCACTTAGAACTTGAATTCTAACTCTATCATCGTAACTAATTTCACTTTTTTTAGACATTTCGGTAGATATGAACTGCTTTTATAAGATTGATTAAGAAAATATTTTATGAACTTTTTAAAAATGACAATTTTCAGGTTTACCACTCTGGAGGTATGACTTTTAATATTGTTACGATTTTGCTAAATCAACCTCGATGATTTTCTGATTCCTTCGGGTACGATCGCTAGATTGTTAAATAAAATTCGCCAACTTAATTTGCAGTTTCTTTCGTTATAAAGAATTTATCTAATGTCCTTTATTTACTCAGTAATTCACAATTCAATTACAAGGCACTTTTTACTTTACTTAAATGTAATCTCCATCGCGTTTACTTTACGACCCTACACTGATGTTCTCGCCAACGAGTTCACTTTGTAACTAACTGACTTGGCAGCTGAGTGTCGCCCTTATATAGCAGTTGGCTGCTTGTAGGTAGCTGTACATATTAGGTCAAGTAAAATGTTC